TATATATATATATATTTATATATATATATATATATATTATATAATAATAACGCTACTTATATTTATTTAAACAATTAGAGTAACTGTATATCTACACATTGAATAAAAGAGAATTAATAATAATTTTAAATATAATAATATTTATATTGATTTAAACATAATTATATTAATATTTATTGACATATAATTATATTTAGGGTTTAGGGTTTAGGGTTTAGGGACAAACCGAGGGTTCTGATCAACTGCCAAGCCGTGCTGCTGTCTTTCTTGCGTCTGGCAGCAGAGAGAGCGACAGGAGGGGTTAAAGATACGAAGACAGTAGAAGCAGCAGCAGCAGCAGCAGCAGCAGCAGCAGGCTGCTGCAGCCGAAGAGAGAACTCCATCAGGCGCTCTACACCATCGCGACCTCCTCGGCTATCCCCGCATAAACGCACAATCCTGAAGCAAAAACCCTAAACCCTAAACCCTAAACCCTAAACCCTAAACCCTAAACCCTAGACCCTAGACCCTAAACCCTAGATACACCCCAAAAAAGTTAATGAAGAAGAGTGTAACTTGAGGAAATAATACATTAAACCCACACTTGCAAAGATAAAACCCTCGACCTCCCACCCCAAACCCTAAACCCTAAACCCTAAACCCTAAACCCTTACGTAAACTCTGCGCCTTGAGCAAGGGCTTCATCTGCTGCTTCTTGAGAAGCAAAAAAGACGTGTGCAGTTCTGCTAGACGTCGGCCCCGCATTGGAGACCATCGCCGCGTACAACGCACCCCGCTTCTGAACCACAAACCCTAAACCCTAAACCCTAAACCCTAAACCCTAACAATAGGCGCTCAAACGTAACCACACATCTAAACACCCACGCCTCATCCTACCGTCAAACCCTAAATCTTCCGATTCTAATGCTAAACCCTAAACCCTGAACCCTGAACCCTAAACCCTAAACCCTAAACCCTGAACCCTCACCTCTAGGGCCTTAAGGACATCGAATTTGTTGATTCGAGGGTCTACGTGGTGTATCTCTAAGCAGCATGCATGCGGCAGCAGCAAGACATCAGGAGCAACAGCAAAAACCCCGAAAGGCAGCTCTTCTTGCTGCTGCTGCTTTGTAGAGACCCGCACCTGACGCGGCCAATCCTCGAGCAGCAAAGGAGACACGTCTCCTGCAGCAGCAGCAGCAGCAGCAGCAGCAGCAACGGTATCGATTTACATCTCATTCGAATGGTCCTGCTGCAGCAGCAGCAGCAACAGCTGCTGCTGCTGCTGCAGCCAATACAGCAGCAGCAAACAAAGCGCTCATACCCAACAGCGCAACCGCAAATTCAGCAGCAGATGCAGCAGCACATGTGCAGCAGCAGCAGCACCCATAACAGCAGCAGCAGCAGCAGCAGCAGCAGCAGCAGCGCACCTGCCCCTGCCAGCAGCCCGACCGGCACTTCCAACTTCAGGTTACGATAACCCCCTTCTTCCCAACGCTGCAGCAGCAGCAACAGCAGCAGCAGCAGCAGTAACAGCATTAACAGAAGATGCAGCAGCAACAGACGCAGACGCAGCAACAGGTGCAGCAAGGGAAGCAGCAGATGCAGCAGCAGGCGGTTGTACGTCTGCTGGGTCTGAGGCTATTTCTTCTGCTATAGCTCCCACTGCCGCTGCTGCTGCTCTCTGTTGCTGCAGCAGCAGCAAATACTGATGATGCAGCAGCAGCAGCGCAAGCAGCAGCAGCAGCAGCAGCAGCAGCAGCAGCAGCAGCAGATGCAGCAGCAGCTAACTTGAAGGAAGACTCTTGCTTGATGCTGCGCTCTATCCCTGCACCGTACGAACTGCTCCCTCAGCAGGTTTGGGTTGTAGGCCTCGTGCATAAACCCTAAACCCCAAACCGCAACGCAAACCCTAAACCCTCATATCCAGCTAGCTAACTAGCTAGTTAGTTAGTTAGCTACCTAGCTAGCTAGAGGAGGGGGGCTTGAGGTTGGCAGGGAGGTTTCTGTCGGTAGCACCTAGGGTTTAGGGTTTATCCGTATCGCCCCTTTGCTAAGGGTTTAGGGTTTAGGGTTTAGGGTTTAGGGTTTACCGAGGTGGTGGTTTTCCTCAAAGAAGCGAGAGGCATGGTGAGCCCTGTACTCTTTCAAATACTTCTTATATCCTTCATTTAAAACATCTTGGCTTGTGCCGTCCGGCTGTACAGACACCTAAACCCTAAACCCTAAACCCTAAACCCTAAACCCTCAGCTGTGGGCGTCAAGAGGCCTCGCCCGATCTACCTATACCTGCAAGTGCGCTGGTGAAGAAACCTCGGCGAGATGCCTAAACCCTAAACCCTAAACCCTAAACCCTAAACCCTAAACCCTAAACCCTCACATTGCGAAGGACAAATTGTTTGAAGCTAAGCATGGGCCCGTCTAGCATGTGCTTTAGCTGCGCTTCGGCATCAAAACCCTCAGCAGCAGCAAACCCTCCTTCTCTATAGTCATGCCCTGCTCCGTTGCTGTAAACCCTAAACCCTAATGAAGAGGCATCACCACCTCTATGCCGCCCCCAAGTCCCTCGCGAAGACGCAGGCGACCTGCTGCGGCTGCGACCCATCGTAAACCCTAAACCCTAAACCCTAAACCCTAAACCCTCGTCATACACAAGAGCAAGTGGTCGCGAGCGAGCCACGGCATGCAGCGGTGCTCCCGAATCCCCCGTTGCTGCTGCTGCAGCTTCTGCTGCTGCTGCTGCTATTGTTGCTGCTGTTGTTGTTGTTGCTGCTGCTGCTGTTGCTGCTGCAGCTGCTGCTGCTGTTGCTGTTGCTGCCCCCCGCTAAACAGAAAAAGACTCGAGCTTGTTTATAACTTTAGCTTCGTCAGTGAAGAGAGAAAAAGAGATAAATAAACAAAAAAGAAGCAGCAGCAAGTTTGCATGTAGAGGCGCCCAAGAGGAAGTTGCTGCTGCAGCAGCAGCAGCAGCAGCAGCAGCAGCAGCAGCAAATCCCCCAGATGGTTTTCAAGTAAAAAGTAAACAAAAAACAAAAAGATAAGCCGACAAATATATTTATTTTATTTCTCCTGCACACAAACACAAACTCGGGGGTTTGCTGCTTGGGGCTGTCTGTAGACTGCAGCGCATGCAGCGAACCCTAAACCCTAAACCCTAAACCCTAAACCCTAAACTCTACTAGTCCAACCTTTAGAGATTCATACCTTTCATTGTTGAGGGTTTAGGGTTTATTCGAAGGACTCAAATAAAAACCCCAAAACCCTAAACCCTAAACCCTAAACCCTCGCGCCTTCATACAACGGGGAGACGCAGCAAGGGGTTTATCTGTCTGATGGTGTTTTGAGTATTTTAGGGTTTAGGGTTTAGGGTTTTAGGGTTTATGAGGGTTAGAAGCAGTTAGGGTTTCGCTCCCCTAGCCTCATGCACTATCCTTATTACGCTGCTCTACTGCAGACCTAAACCCTAAACCCTAAACCCCAGACCCTAAACCCTAAGCCCTAAACCATAACGAGTAAAGATAATGAAGGTAGCTGCCAGCTCGCTTCCTTGAGAACAAAACCCTCTATGTCGCTGCATGCAGAAGCTGAGGGGCATACTTCCCTAAACCCTAAACCCTAAACCCTTAACCCTAAACCCTAGACCACTAGCCGCGCAACCATCCAAGGAAGACAGGTACCCTCCTTAAACCCTAAACCCCAATCTCTGATATACCTTCGCTGCTACTCGCCTGCAGGCTGGTTCGGCTTGCCGAGTAGACCTTAACCCTAAAACCCTAAACCCCAAACCCTAAACCCTAACCCTATGCAGCGCCTTAAGCAGCAGTCTGTATGATTGGTTTGTCTGCATTATCGGCTACGTAAACACTAAGCAGTTGTAAACCCTAGGATTAGGGTTTAGGGTTTAGGGTTTTGGTGCTCCTTAAGGACAGCTACACGCTGATGATAATGCGCCTCCACAATGGCCGCAAACCCTAACTCCCCCATTGTGGTGTATGCGCAGCTCAGCAGTCTCTGCAGCACACAAACCCTAAACCCTAAACCCTAGATCCTAAACCCTAAACTCTCGAACTAGCAAGCCTTGACCCTACTTTTTCCTCGTCCATCCGTGAGGGTTTTATGCTGCACATAAACTCTGTGCAGCTGAGGGTTTAGGGTTTAGGGTTTAGGGTTTACGGTTTAGGGTTTGTTACCTTTGCGGGGTTCACCATAAAAAAGCGAGTGTCTCCTACGGTGTCTGTACACCACAAATTTCTGCCCAGCTGCAGCGCAGCTCCGCTGTCTCCTTCATCAACAGCAATAGAAGCCTGAAGCGCAAACCCTAAACCCTAAACCCTAAACCCTAATCCCTTGATTCGCAGCCCTCAACCCCCATCAGCAGTTCTGAAAAGAGTTCGGGCACACCGGCTCTACCCGAGGGTTTTGTCGTGGAACAAAGGTTTAGGGTTTAGGGTTTAGGGTTTCTGACAAGGTTAAGGAGCTCCTCCAGGTCGCTGGGCTTTGCTTTTTGTTGTTTTAAATTTATTATTAATAATTTTAGGGTTTGCGGTGTATAACCCAAAGAACGCCAACCAACTTGCGTCTTCTTGTTGTATGCAACCGACACCCCAAGCCCTGCACAAACCCTAAACCCTAAACCCTAAACCCTAAACCTTAAGCCCCTAAGCGCGCCCCACCAAGACCCCGCTCGCCTATAAAGACAAACCCTAGACCCTCAGAAGACAAACGCCTACTCGCTAACTGCACCACGACGTCTGTCCTTCTAGGGTTTAGGGTTTAGGGTTTAGGGTTCAGGGTTTACCGGAGAGGTCAGCAGCCACACAGGTCTTCTTGCGGTTTGCTGCCCAAGCGGAGGCTCCCTTAGCGATTTCATCAGATAACTCCTTTAAAGTTTTGCTGCTGCTGCTGTTGCTGCTGCTGCTGCTGCTGCTGTTGCTGCTCTCGCGCTTGAGGTAGTTCAGCAGCTTTTCACACAATTCTCTACACACAAACCACCAAAGTAGGGTTTAGGGTTTAGGGTTTAGCAACGGCATTGAATAATGCGTCTATCGTCTACAGCCGCTGTCTGCAGCACCAGCAACATCAGCAGCAACAACAACGCCAGCAGCAGCAGCAGCAGCAACGGCAGCAGCAGGCTTTTGGGGTGTATAGGCAGCTCAGGCTTACTCTGTTTGTTTATTTTGATTTTTCTTCGTTTTGTTTGCTGAGGCCTCAACAGCATGACGAATCACCGCAGCAAACAGCAGAGGCAAAGGTGGATCTGCTGCTGCTTCTGCAGCAGCAGCAGCAGCAGCAGCAGCTGGATCTGCTGCTGCTGCTGCTGCTTTGCTGCTCTTTTGTTTTGGCGGTTTGCGGGGGAGGGTAAGTGCAGCGTAGGGTGTATGTACAGCTGAAAGCCGCGGGTCATTATAAACCACCGCCTCAGGTTGCTGCTGCTCTCTGTCTCTAAACAAACTATACAAAGGAGACAGAGAATCTATGCTGCTGCTGCTGCTGCTGTTGCTGCTGTCGCTGCTGCTGTTGTCGTTGCTGCTGCTGTTGCTGCTGCCGCTGCCGCTGCTATTGCTGTTGCTTCCGTTGCTGTTGCTGCCGTTGCTGCCGCTGCCGTTGCTGCTGTTTCCGTTGCTGCTGCTGCTGCTGCTGCTGCTATTGCTGCTGCTGCTGCTGCTGCTGCTGCAGCGCATGAAAGGGATGCACTCGGGCAGAGTATAAAACCCTCGGGCGTGAGAAGGCGAGAAGGAGGCAGCAGGGTTAGCCAGCAAATCGAAGGGGCCTGCAAACAC